TATCTTAGAGACAACAATTACATACCTGAAATAATTAGCAGACAGTATATAATTACATCATTGGATGATAGAAAGTAGAAATCAGCATGAGCTGAAATAGTACTTTATGGAAAGTGGGAAATGGTTATGTCTTCATGTGTCTCCCCATCCACAAATTTGCTTTCTTTTCTTTTCTTTTTTTTTCTTTTTTTTTACATATCTACAGTAAAGGAGAGGATGGAGTGGAAGATTGTGGCCTTTTCTGAGACTCTAGGATTTGCTTTAAGTTATGAAATTTTAAGTTAGTGAATAAAATGCTCATATGTTATATTCCACCCAAATAGCTTTAAAATCTGTATACTTCAGGAAGCAAAACATTATATTTTCTGTTTATACTATTTCCATGTAATGGAAAGATTCATTTGGCTTATCAGAAAAGTCAGCCATTTTTACAGGAAAAGATAGGACTTAGTACATTCTCTGGTTGTGAGCTATGTCTGTCTTTTTGGATTAGCCACATACAAGTGATTCAGGATACAGTGAACACAGAAGTATTACATATTATTGTGAAGTAATGAGATTGTTTTCAGTCTCATGGTCCAGTTGTACTTATTTCACATCTGTAATGCTTATGATACTGGTAGTTCTCCGGTTCAGGATTTTGCCTGTTTTCATAATGTGGCAACACATGAAGTATACTACTTGACCTTCAGTTTTGGTTGTTTTAACTACATCCGTAATACATGTTAAAGCAGATTTGTTTGGTAATTGCCGCTTACCATTACCACAGACCATGAATGTGTATTAAAAATTAAAAAGTCTGATTAGAGTTTAAAAAGACAAAAATGTACACTATATTCATGGCATTAGTTTCTGATGTCCACCTGAAAAATAAAATAGCATAGAAGTACTTGGTAAAAATTAAAAATGTTTATATCAGTGCTGCAATCATTAAAGTAAATGTTGCACATATCTCTATCCTACCTTGATCTTCTGGACATGAGAAATTCCTCAAAATCGTAAGGTTGTGGGAAGAGACTGCCTCTTTTAACTTACCTCCCTTCACACATTTACTCAAGGAGAGGAGATGTAAGGATTTTGGTTGTTTTAATCCTTTACACATCTACATTCCTGATGGCAAAATCCTTTTGGTAACTAACGTCTGCAGTCTTAAAAATGTTTGTATACATCTTTGAGAATCTTTCCTAGGGAACTGAACACTGAAAAAGTTTATGCCCATAGATGCACTTATTAGTATTATTTATTATAGAGAAAAATTGGAATCCTCTAAATATCCAACTATAAAAAACAAGTTAATTATGGTGCATTCATTAGATGGCTATTAATGCAGCCATTCAGAAGTTTATGAAGAGGTAGAAAATAACAAAGGTGCTTGCAACATAATGTTAATGGAAAAAAACAATATATAACATATGCAATATGATAACAATTACAGGGAAAAGAAAAGGCAAACCCATGGTATTTATAAGATGAAGCATTGGAATGATCTATATATCAATGGTGGTTGCTTTGTATGATTGCACTCGTGATTATTTTATGTTTCTGTTTATATAGGTAGAGTACTACTATGATAAAAAAAGAAAGTTATTGCAGAATGGGGAGAAAATGCTCATTCATTGCCCGTTCTAGCAAAAAACATTACTGGACTCCATTTTATCATTGTTGCCATTGAATTATTAGACATTGATAAAATAATTTAACAAGTAGGGTATTTAAATTAAGAACATAATACCATAGTAAAAAGATATATATATATATATATATATATATATATATATATAAAATATTTCCTCTCCCAATACTAAACAATACTGTACATAATAGTTGCTCAAGACAAAATTTTGTTAAATTTATGAGGATACTAAGTGAGTTATTTTAGTTCTCAGCTCTTCCAATAAAGTAGTAATCACTTGCCTCAAATACATCTTTTGCTTGCATTTAAATACATTTATTTTTCTACTTTGAAAAAAGTTTTTGGTTTTTTTACTTTGTGTTTTAATTCTTGTACTTATAGGGGTTTCCTGCAGAATTTGCCATGTACTTAAACTATTGTCGTGGGCTGCGCTTTGAGGAAGCTCCGGATTACATGTATCTGAGGCAGCTATTCCGCATTCTTTTCAGGTCAGTTTTTAAGGTATTTTAATACTGTAAACTCCAGTGAGAGTAATTAGTTAAATCCACCCAACATATTTATTCTGAGAAGTGGCAAATTAAAGTGGGTCTAGCCAATATGAATAAAGTTTTTAAGAAACTGAGTTTTTGGCTCTTTTGCATTAGCTCAAATATGCTTGAAATTAGTTTGAATTGGAGAAACAGTTGAATCAAACTCAAAGTAAAAATCTAACTTTTCCACAGTGATTGTATTTCACATTAGACATAAGTGACTGTCAGTGGCCCTGGGAACTCTCCAACTTTCATACAGAAGCAGAATGAAAAGCAATTAAAATATCAAACAGTCATGGGCGTCCTGGATAGTGTGGAGGCAGGCCCAAACTCGAGGTTTCCCTAGATGTAACCTAGAATTGGTCTTGAAAACTGGGCCGGGTGGGTGGGGGTGAGGAGTACAACGTGGTTCAAAAACTTAAATTGGAAGCAAACATGAATTGGAGGTAATCCTCTAACTCCAGAAAAGTCTTCCCAAGCCACCAGCATAAATATCTACCCCACGAACTTGTAGCCCCATCCCTACTCTGATTTGTTTTTAGGAGGTACCTCCCATGATGATGACCCCCAGCTCATAGTTGACAGCATTTCTTCCTGCTGCTTTCCATTCCCACCCTCCTTCCCCTTTTAAGAAAATTTAAAGGCAGCTTCTTTTTGAAAATGGAGAGGATTTATTCTTACTGAATACGGCAGACCAAAGTGCTGAGGTTTTCCTCTAATGACATGTAAAAAGTAGAATTAATTAACTGAATAGTGAAAATTAAAAATCATCTAGAGGAAAAGAAATCTTTTAGAAGCTGCCACATTTTGGAGAAAATATTCATTTTCTTAAAAAATTCCCTCACTGTCTTGAGAGTTCAGTAGTGTATTAAACCTAATCTTATCAAAGGACTAACATATACTTTTATATTTTCCAGGACCCTGAACCACCAATATGACTACACATTCGATTGGACAATGTTAAAGCAAAAAGCAGCACAGCAGGCAGCCTCTTCAAGTGGGCAGGGTCAGCAGGCCCAAACCCCCACAGGCAAGCAAACTGACAAAACCAAGAGTAACATGAAAGGTTAGTAGCCAAGAGCCAAGTGACGTTACAGGGAAAAAAATTGAACACAAAATTGGGTAATTCATTCATTTCTAACAGTGTTAGATCAAGGAGGTGGTTTTAAAATACATAAAAATTTGGCTCTATGTTTTTAAAAAAAGACGTCCTTGGAAAATTTGACTACTAACTTTAAACCCAAATGTCCTTGTTCATATATATGTATATGTATTTGTATATACATATATGTGTGTATATTATATCATTTCTCTTGGGATTTTGGGTCATTTTTTAACAACTGCATCTTTTTTACTCATTCATTAACCCTTTCCAAAATAAACATTTGGTGTTGGGAATATGGTATATAATCAATCAATCCAAAATCCTAGACCTAACACTTGTTGATTTTTAATAATGAATTTGGTTAGCCATGATGTCTTGACTTTCTTTCAGACTAACAGTGTTAAAGAATTTTTTCTGCATGGTAATGCTTTAGTGTTTAAAATGGAAACTTAAGAACATGATCTGATTTTTAAGAGGTGAGTCTGGCATTGCCCCCAAAGTGTTTATCTTCTCAGTTGGAGAGCATCTTGTTTTTAAGCTCTTAAATGCTCAAATAACTGAAAAGCTCAACACTTCTTTCCTAGTCAAAAAAATAAATTTCTCTTTTACTGGCTATTTAACTACATATGTTCTTAATTTCAAAATGATTCTTCTGTTATTGTCTATATATTTTAAAATCTTGCTACTATTCAGGGTCTAGGAGGCCAACGTGGAGTTGAATTCTGCAGTTAGGCCTTGCAAATTGAAAACAACTGGGGCAAATGCCATTGAACTGCTAGTCTGTTTCCTTTCTTTCTCTGGCACTCTTGGTGCTATGAGGAGTAGAACTGTTAGAGCACAGCTCCGTTTCTTATCACTGTTGCCGTACAGTTCAACTCCTGTGTTTCATGTTTTTTGTTTGCTTTCTTTTCCCCTTTGTGGGTCTTTCCTCCCGATACCTGCCTACTTTCTGGAAGTGGTGGGCAGGTAAGGTTTGATTTTGGTTTCTAATTAATTTCTGAATGACTGCTCTAGTCTGAACTTGGTCTTCTTTGGTCCATATCTTTAGCGTTGCATTTAAACTATTTTATAATTTAAAAATAGGTTCTAATCTGAGGATACTTTTCAAGAAGTATAATTAACTGATGTCATCCTCATCCCAGCAGCTCATCTATTAGGAATGAAGTTGAGATACTTCCATGTTTCCGTATTTGGGAAGGATTCATGGTTGAAGGTTTAATGTAATGGGGGTCGTTAGATGATGAAATTTCAGCTCAGGATAGCAAACACTAATGCTTGCCCAGTACTCGGCCTGTGCATCTCAGTTGGGACTTGACTGCCTCTTTTGAGTGTTTTAATCATTGTATAACTAATCATAGTACCAAGAAAGTGGGAGAAATGGTCCTACTATTTAGGTAAAATGACAGAATCTTTAAACTGAGGACTTGTTACACCTGACACCTATAGTGTATTTGCTTTTTCTCGCAAAATGAAACCAATTTTTGCTTAAAGCTAGCTGGGATAATAGGATCATCATGAGTTGCAGTTTCTAGAACTAAAATTAGATTGAAATCTCAGCTGACCTAGAACATTTCACTTCAGGCATTCAGCAGCCTTCAGAAAGAATTATACCTTATTTTGAGCTAGTTCCATTGTTGGTTTACTGTGTATCTCTTACTCAATAAAACAAGCAGAATTTTTGTCCTGCCTTATCCAGGTCTTAAAGATGAGAAGTTGGACCCACTGAGTTAGTATGTTTCCTTTGGGGGGGAGGGGGGACTGGAATTAAACTTGTTTAATCCATACTTTGTATCGTAGCTATTTCTCATAAAAGCAACTTAAAATCTTATGAAAATCTTATAGCATTATTAGACACAGAAGTTAAACAAATTGTTTACATAAACATGGACTTCTAATTTTTGAAAAATTGGACTTTTCATAAAACACATCACATTTCGTTGACTACTTTCAGAGATGCAGAGGCGTTGTCATTTGACTCCAAGCTAAATATTGCTTGCAACTAAAATGTGCCACTCCACAGAACACAAACAAAATTCTTTTTGACCTTTGACTTCTTGAAAACATTTATTTTGGATATAAAACTTAGTGCCCCAAACAAATTTTACCCAAAGCCCCCTATACAAGTATATAAAACCATGAAAGCTTTAGCAGGTTTGAGGGTGGCATGAAATAGGTATGGGGAACCAAATACCCTAACCTCTACCCCAACCCCATTATCTGGGTCAACCTCAACGTAGTTAGGGTGTTTAAAAGCATCCTATCTTATGTTCCACTTCAGTGTTTTACTCAAGGAAGAGCTCATGCAGCTCAATGATTTGATTCTAAGAAATCCTTTCAGTGATGATGAAAACACCATATTGCACTTCTCTAGTTAAAATTTTTAAAAGTGCTTTAAAATACATTATATTATTTGTTATACATGGAGTTATACTTTCACAGGTTTCCACATTAGAGAATTCCGTTTCTTTAATGAATCTTCAGCAAGTAAATCTGTATTGCAGAAATATCCATTCCTAGGAAAATCCCACAAATGGTGACAGTCACTAGTATATTTTATGATTATTTTTATTTTTGAAAAATCAATACCTAATGTTCCATGGAAAGCTTTAAGTTGTTTTAGCAGTTCACTAAAAAATGTCCAAAGACTTTAAAGCCTGACTTAATTCAGCCAAGATGGGCTAATTATATGTAATAGGCTTCTATCCTAATTACTTTTCTTAAAAAAAAAAGATCTTTTTAAATGTTCATTCCATCAAAAAACTAAGAATAAGAAACAAGGAGTTTCTTTTAATGCCCACTATGATCTGTACTAATTTTCACTGCTCAGCTGTCACACAATTATAATTGTTTATATACATGTTAAAGAGAAAAATAAAAAGATTCACATCTGATACACTTCCAAATATACTTCACTCCCTTTTCTTCAACTTTGGGGTATTATCAGAAAAGTACTTTTCAAGACATAAGAAATAGTAAAGGAAAAGAAACCATTTTTAGGACATTCACAATCCAATTAAGTTCATCATCTCTTTAATTAGGGGCAGAGATGGGGAGAATTTCAGAAGGTAGTGAAACCAAAGGTGGATCCTCACATACACCTGCTATTCTCATCATCTTAATCCATCTGTTCACTGCTCCAGTCATCAGTACTAAGCATAGTATTATCATAACGAGTACCTGGCTGTCAGGTTGTTGACATTCAAGAGATTAGAAATAGTTTTCCATCACGTTATCCTACCATATCCATGGTCTTCCTTGAATTACCTTCCAGTATTTACTGGGCTTCACCTACCACTTATGTCTAGCTTAACTTTTTCTGACTTCACCAATTGCTGCTAGGAACGTGGCTGGTCATTCAGCAATGTAACCCAAATCGTAGGGGAAGACCTTGAAATGTCTGGAGAGACTGATCCGCTCTGAATAAACTCAGTTCAAAGAAATGCCAGGGAGCTGCATCTGCTTGCTGAAAATTTTGTCAGCTTTTTTCACTGTGGACAGACAACAAAGCTGGAGAGAAAAGAGCTAAATTACTTAACTGGAAGTGAAGATGAGCGTGCAAGAGTTGACCTGTAATTACCTGAAGTCCACGTCTCCAAGGCTTGCTGGACCTGTCAAACTCTTTAACTTGTCATTGTCTGGATGGTATGACAGTCCAGAAGACCTAGAAGAGTTCTGGCATAAAATGCGGACCATCTACCAGTTGGGGAAGGAACCACTTGTAACAGGTATTGTAAAATTCAGCAACCTCAGAAATCCATAGCAGAATGAATTCTGTAATAGGGAAGATAAAGGAAATCAGATAATCAGTCTGGTTTCTTTTTTCTTTCTTTTTTGTTTAATGCAGTTTAGGGATGATGTTTACCTGCTATACTTAAGTTGTCATCTTATTTGTAGTGATAAAATCTATTTCTTTTGTCTAATTTAATACTGTGGAGGAGGAAGAGTTATTGCTGGGGGTGGAGTATTGTTTATCCTCTGTAACTTTTATACTGCCAATCTGATTCAAAATTCTCTAAGCTTGATTCTGATTCTGCGCAGCCGAAAAAACAATCAATCATGTTATGGGAAAAATTAATTTCTATAAATAGCATTGCAGTGATGAATATAAATATTATGTTTACATTTAAGAGTTATGTCTTATACTGTGAAAGGATTCTACATTTCAAAAGGCCATCAGAAACATTCAGACCTTACTATTATTATGTAAATATCTTTTTGAACTAGTTTGTAGTTCTGTCAAAAAAATCAGGGACATCTGAAATTAATTCATGGATAGGAGCAGGTACATTAACATTTCAGATCAAGGGGCAGACTCTTCTGGTTAGTTATATAAAAATAAACATTTTTTTCCTTTTGCAGATTTGAAAAGAAACCTAAATGTAGCTAATAACTCCTGAATCTCACATTAATCCTCCAAGCCTGTTTTAACTGGTTTTTCCCTCTTTTTTTAGGAACAAAAGGATCCATTTTTTATTTCAACAAGTTGCATTGAAGATGAGTTTTTGGACATTTAGAAGCCAGGAGACACCACCTAAACTGCAAGATTAAAACCAAGGACTAAGGCACACTGGGAAAAGAATGCTTAGCACTTGAAGATTGAATGTTGAATACTACCTGCTGAATGTTCCCATTGAGATTTTTTTCTAAACTTCACTAACATTTTAGGACAATAAACTGGAGAAGCATTGATCCCGGGGTGGAGTGCCGTACCACTGGCCAATCTGAAGAGCTAAACCTGGATTTGACTGCTGTATTCTACCGGGAATATTGTTAGGCTAGCCTTTAACCAGTCTGTTAAACAATTATAATCATTAGTTGACCTAGCAATCCCTCAAATATCAGATAAAAGATGAACAAAATCCTTTCCTAGGTATAATTCTTATCCCTATTAAAGAGACGACAATTTTCTAATATTGTGACTGCCAGTGTAACTTAATTTCCATTTCAGTTTGTTAGTAAGTGGTTTCCATTTTAAAGCTGTTTGGATGTTCAACACTAATTATTCAATAGAATGTGATTGCATAATCAAGCTATGGTAAAAGAAAGCCTGAAATTGGGATTAGATTGCAGATGGTCAGATTTTAACAATTTAATTCAGTTTGATTTGACAGCTTTTTCTTTCTTTGCTTATTACCTTGATAATCCTATTTAATATGTATCAAATAGATAATATCCCTTGCGGTAAAGTACATTCTCGGAAAGTTTTGTTATCTTTCATTTTTTGGCGTTTGCTTTATGAACATAATACTTGGGACAGACAACAAAGGTCTATTCTGTACCTACTCTGGTGTTAGGCACTATCGAGCGGCCAAGAAGTACAGCACTTATATCTAGTCCTCAGGGCTTAGCACAGCATGTTCATTAAATAATGTAAGATGACTTTCTGCCCTCAAGGGAAAAAACTGCCACTTAACAAGTGGGGGAATATTTACCAAATGATATGTAAATGTTTGGTATCATCTTTGAAAAAAAGGCATATATGCATGAAAATAAATTATGGAAGTATTTTAGCTCCCAAACCCATTGAAGATGATCCAAAAAATGAGAAGTACCAAAAAAAAGAAAAGCAGTTTTTGATTGACAAAACTAGGGTTTGTGCTAAAGAAGTGAGAGATAAGAGTGGACAAGAATAAGCTATAATTAGGTGGGCTATAAGAATTTGGAAGGGGGTGTACCAAGGGGCATTGATGCCTTGAAGGAAAGAAGGTGGTGATGAGATTTTCGTGTTAGTCCTGAGAGACTGGTATACTTCCTCTCTACCTTTTAGCCACAGATTAAGTTTGTAGGTGATAGGCGTATTTCCTTTCTTTGCTTTTAGCCATAGCCTCTCTGAGGAATAGTTCAATTGTGGCTGAGGAGGGGAGTGCTTACAGGGTGGGGAGGCTTGAAAAGTAAAGCCAAAAAAGCATGTCATTTACGTTTTGAGATGAGTGGCAAAACCTAACTTTTAATTTAACTGTTGGAGGTAAAGAATTAAAGGTCTGAGGTTTTTGTATAAAAAACATACCAGTTTTGTGTTCAGTGGAATAGCTCAAATAATTATGCCTTGAATACATTTATTAAAACTTATTTGTATCAAAGATAATGTGCAGAAAAGTTCCTGCTCGTAGTAGGTTAAAACTATACTTTCTAGTTAAAGCAATCCATTTTTCATTCATTTGACTTGTAGTTGAACACATATGTTTGTTCTATCTAGGTACTAGAAATACAAAAGTAAAAAAAAAAAAACAGGCTCACTGGAATTAACAGTAATTCTCTAGCTTGAGAATTGTATGCTTACTGGGAGGCTTTGATTCACTGTATACCATGTAGAAGTATCCAGAATAGAAAAGTTTCTTGTTTTTCTGTTTTAAAAAATTGAGCTAGGGATTTTCAAATAGATGAAAATCACATGAGTCCGCATTGTAAAATAATTGTTGGCCCAGTTACCTTAATTTTGGGTGTAGTTTAAAAAAAAAACTTTTTTTTTTTTACTTTGAATTTTAACCTCTTTTTTCTGTTTTGATTTTTTTAAAACAGGTTTTTAAGCATGAATCGAGGAACAGAAGAAGCAGTGCAGATGATCGGAGCAGCATTTGTTTCTCCCCAAATCTAGAAATTTTAGTTCATATGTACACTAGCCAGTGGTTGTGGACAACCATTTACTTGGTGTAAAGAACTTAATTTCAGTATAAACTGGCTCTGGGCAGCATGGGTGATGCGGTGTCCCGAGTTGTAGCCACTGTAATTGTGAATATTAACTGAGATAGTGAAACATGGTGTCCAGTTTTCTATTGCATTTTTTCAAGTGGAGAAGTTAACTAAATGGTTGACACACACAAATTGGTGGAGAAATTGTGCATATGCCAATTTTTTTGTTAAAATCTTTTATTTTGAACCTATACTGCTTTGAGATCTCATTTCAGAAGAACGGCATGAACAGTCTTCAGCCACAGTTGTGATGGTTGTAAATGCTCACAATTGTGCATTAGGGTTTATCCATCCTGGGGTTTGCAAGTTGTTCACTTAAAACATTCTTAAAATGGTTGGCTTCTTGTTTGCAAGCCAGCTGATATGGTAGCAACCAAAGATTCCAGTGTTTGAGCATATGAAAGACTGCCTGCTTACCTGTGCTAGAAATAACAGCATCTAAAGTGAAGACTTAAGAAAAACTTAGTGACTACTAGATTATCCTTAGGACTCTGCATTAACTCTATAATGTTCTTGGTATTAAAAAAAAAAAAAACATTTGTCACAGAAATTTAGTTAACATCTTAAAACTGAACATGTATGTATGTTGCTTAGATAAATGTAATCACTGTAAACATTATATATGATCTGGGATTTCGTTTTTATTTTGAAATGGGAGCTTTTTTGTTTACAAGTTCATTAAAAACTAAAAACTGTTTCTGTAAGGAAATGAGATTTTTTTTAAACAACAAAAAAATGCCTTGCTGACTCACTATGAAATCAAATCTCCCCAATTTTTTAATAGACTACTTCAAGCCATTTGTTACATAATACTCCTTTGCAAGTCGTTCTAGGTTTAGCGTTCCAACTTTTCCTCAAATTTTTTTATTAAAATTTTTTTTTTCTGTTTGAAGGAGAAAGGCATTGTTTTTTTTGTTCGTTTGTTTTGTTTTTTAATGACTTGCAGGCACACATACCTAGTGCTGCAACTGCCAGGACTTGGTATTGTGACTCCTGCAGCCTCAGACTAACTCGCTGGACTGATTTTGAATATGAATGAAAGCGTTAAAGGGTTTAACTACAAAATGAACTTTTTCTTTAAATCCCTTGTTTGTTAATTGGCTTGGAGCAGACTGACTCTTAACCATGGAGAACATCACACCCATATGAGGTTCCTGGGATTCCATGACCTTCCCTGGCCCACCCATTTCTGTAAATTACCTGCGCTTATTCTCAGTCTTATTTGCCACTCTATTCTCTTTCTGACCCAAGGGAAAGAAAGACTTATTGACAATACTTTTTTAAATAGTGTAATTTATTCATTTATAGCATGTCCGAATAAATTAAAAGAACTTTAGTCCAAAAATGCTGCCAGGAGCCTATTGTGTAAATGTAGGTATTTTGTAAAATTAACCATGAAATGGTAAATTGACACGTGTTTGGTCAGATTGTGTCAAGCTTAATTCTGTTTTTCATTTGAAAACTACTTTAGCAATAATTAATTCCATGATGACCACATTCTGCCATTAAAGGATCTATTAGCAGCATCGTACTGCAGAAATCTTAATGAGTATGAACTTTGGGTAGGCAGCTTTGTTTCTTTTCTATCCACCACGTCAGTTAAGGTATTTGTTTCTTGACTAATAAACCCTTTGATACTTTTAGCCAGAAATCAGTCTCATAAAGCTATTTTTAAGTATAGTTTGTGTAAAATAAAAATGTTTAGCTTTGGTAATAACTTCCGAGCTGAACTCCCTCTAGCAAGATATTTTTCAGTGCTTTTATTTACTATGCACTTAGACTATGCACTTTTTCTGAAATATTTTTGTAACACTTAACTTTTTTGTATTTTTGCCATTTGAAAAGGTTGTGGTGTAGTTGGTCTGTAATTCAGTTGCAGGTTTATAACTGCTGTTAGCTTTGTAAATCAAAATATAGGTGTTTGTGTCCTGGTATATCTTCATTCCATCTGCAGCCGGAGCTGGAATCCCCCTGATCTTCTAGCTACCATTCATTTTCTTCACAGTTCACAAAAGAAGAATGTGAAATTCAGTGAATGCTGTTACTAATCCTGTCGGGAGATGAATCTCATTTCACCAAAATTAAATTATGTTTTTCCACTAAAATGATGATACAAGTTGAAGACACATCACTCTGAAATTGGAAGACCTCACCACTTAAGGCTCCACAGTGGCTTACTCAGCTGAACTCTAGGTTACTACTCTTTACTTTGTTTACCCACTTGGGGGTGCAGTTTTTTTAAATGTTGGGAGATGGCCATTCTAACTACTGTTGAATGTCTCTGTTTTGGGAAGGTATAACAAAATAAAAAAGAATATATAAGAAGGGAGAGACTCCTTATCTCCTCCCAATGGTTGTGCTCATGCTCCTATGGCCTGGAAATGGAATTTTGGAGGTTTGCTTTTACTATTATTCATCAACAAATATTAAGAGACTCCTATTTCTACTAGTCCTTGCAGTACTATTAAATGTTTTAAGCAGAGTATACTGTAATAATGGTAAACTTATAATAAAAGTACCAAACAAGGATTTTAGAACTGAAGCCAACAAGCTAGTTTTCCCTAACGTTTGCTAAAGTATTTGTAGAGAATAGGTTCTTTTAACTTGACTGGACTGGACCATGAGAACTCTAAGAAGGGGTGGCCTAGACATTTGCAGCTCAGCTCCTACAAATTCAGCAGTAGTCTGTGAGGTGTGTGATTTGCTGAGCCACACTGATATGTAGCAAGCAATATTTTGGGGTTTTTCTGTTAGGTTTGAAACAATAACTATGTGACCAAGATGTGAGGATAGGTCTATGACTTGATGTGATGCATTAACAGAAGAACTTAGTATCTCAGATGTGCTGTCCCCTTTAAAATGAGACTTTGTGAGACTATACTTCCCTTTAATCATATTACTGTTGCTCACGACATTTTAGGAAATCCCCCCAAGTTTTTTTCCACCTCTCTGGAATATATTTAACAATGACAAGCTTTAGTATACTTATTTTCTGAAACAGCCAAAGATGGCAGTGAATCAAGTTGATGTAATCAGGCTATGCATTCTGTGTTTAATCAACCAGTATCTAATTAGAAGAAAAATGATTCGTTTTCTGAAGTGACTTGTTAGACCAGTTTTGAATACATATGCAAAAGCCTGATGAAAATGTTGAGTAATACTAGAGTAACTAGCTGTTCAAGACATGTTTCAAGTTTTTGATCAAATGCATTGTGTCTATTGGTTGAGGCTGTTGGACCCACAGTGGGTAGAGTACTACAATGAGACCACAGATTCAACAAGTTTGAGAGACCTGGAAATTCACACCTAATTCTTTTTGTTTGGTCTCTGCTCCTTTTCAGCCTGGTGGGATGAATTGTTGAGTTAATTGGTGGCAGTACTATCCAAGACCTGAGACAAAGCACCTGCCTCATTGGATGATTTCTGCAATAGAAGAATAAAGTGGGGGTGAACATCTCTTAGAGACCAGTAGACCCAAGTTCTTCATAGTGGGCAACCATAGTGTATAAAT